GAGAGAGAGAGAGAGAGAGAGAGAGAGAGGGGAATCAGAGGAGAGCATCAAAAGCGTGCATGAGAGACAAAGAGCCGGCGCAGAGAGATGCTTAATGTTTGGACTCTAAGACGGACGGCGGAGATTCGCCCATTGCAGTACTAATGCGGGGATGACCGCATTTCTACAGTTGAGGTCCCCGAGGTATAAAGCATAGGGATGCAAATAGGTTGTCCATCTAGAAGTAATCGAACCTAAGTCCATTTTTAATTTTCAAAATTTATCGATTATGTCATATTCGTGATTTCTATGCTAGAGATTACTTGTTCTTAAAAATTGGCTAAAAACTCCATATAAAAGGTCAAATTTTAAGAGGTGACCCATTTCTACATGGACTCATAAAAACCGTTTCCATTTAGTATTTCATTAATTTTAATGGGAGGCAAGAACTCGTGTGGCGGATGATTTATTTTGTATCAAACATGGCTTCTACATCTTCCTTTCCTTGACGATTAAGCCTGTACAAAAGTGTTTGAAATATCGGATTGGCCTTAACACAAGCGATCTATGTTTCAAACATCGGATTTTGTATTGCTATAAATAAATGTGAACAGAGAGCAGTCCGATATTTGAAACATCGTACCAAACATCTGACCACTTGTGTTACGGCTTTTTCTTATTCTCCTCTCTCTCTCTCTTATCTTACAATGCGAGAGAATGCCTTTGCATTTACATGCATATGATCTTTTGACTAGGGTGAAATGAAACTTGCATTATATGCATAGGCATTGAACCGCACTTTATATGACTAAAACTTTAGTAGAGAATTTATTATACCTCAAATATGATCTTCTCGTAAGTTTCAAATCAATTTCCAAATATCAATGAAGGATTTATCGGTTAAGCCTGTTTTGACCGACATCAATTTCCAAATATCAAAGACAGGTCTGTCAGTTAAGCATGTTTTGACCGACGACAGTTCAAGCAATCCTATCAAGTGATGTCCAAATTTAAAGATTCTTTAACTAAAGGCATATAATGAGCTTTCATTGGTATCTGCCAAATTTCACCTCCTTCTGTTATGATTAGATGAGATTTCTATAACTTGAGCAGTTAACTTCTAAAACTGTTGGAGCCTTTCTAAAACTTGTATCCAAACTTTTCCAATATGATGCGGAGAGGCATAATATGGCCATGAGACTGTTGGCCCATAGTTTGGTCTCAAATCGAAATGTTGTGACAACCTCTAAGTGTGTGGGACGGTTAAGATGTATATCAATTGACTGTAGAATATTCAAGGCATATGGTGCCTTGGATGGCCAGTTCCACTTATATTTGTCCTCTAATATGATATTTGAAGTTTTTTCCACAAATATACCACTCATCAACCATTCATGAGATCCTTCATCCGTAAAGTAGTTTGTGCTTGATGATCGTCCAAACCTTATATTGAGATTAATCCCATTCCTTGATTTTATACATTTTACCTTTGATTCGAGTGTCCAAAAATTAACCCCAACAGGGCTACTTATTTCTATAGAGTTGCATCCCTATGAAAATACTTTTCACAAATATAATATATATTACATTATTCTTTTCATCTCTGCCTACATAGAACTTGTCCCTCACTTCCAAAACTCTCTCTCTCCTTCTTTCCCAAACCCATAAATCTTGTTCTTGTTCTCTTTAAACATAATCAACCCCACTAATCTCTCTCTCACTACACAAAGCCAACGCCAATGTTTGAAAACTTGGCCGAGCCAGCTTGGACTTAGCCGAGTTACTCAGATTCGGCCATATGTCGAGGCCGAGTATTCTCGAGTTGGGGGTCATCCTTCATGGGCAGTGGAAACCCTACACTACTTGCCGAGTACTGTAGCTACTCAGGTGAGTAGTCAACCACTACGTCGAGTAGTATGGTACTTGGCTGACTACTACAATTTTGTAGGCCTTGCCTTTGGTTCCACTGTTATGGAGCTCCAATAATGGAGATAGAGGAGAGGGTTTTTAAAAACTTTTACCCGCTCCTTCCACCGCTAGTAATCCTCTCTCTTTATCTCTCTCACCTTTTTTATCTCTCTCTCTCTCTCTGGTTGCCCCTGCCCCAATCTCTCTCTCAGTGGGGCAGGGGTGCATGGCTCCTATCTGCACTCTCACTTCCACTCAGTTGGGGCAAGAGCGTAGTGCTCCTACTCTCTCTCTCACTCAAGTTGGCGCAAGCCCCTACCCCAACCTCTCTCACACACACACACAAAAACAACTGGAGGAGGGGCACAGAGCCCGACTCAGATTCTCTCTCTCTTCCCTGCCTTCTCTCTTTTCAAATTAAAAGTAAATTTTAAAATTTCGTTTAAGTTTATATCATAAAATTTTTGGCATGAATCATTTTTTAAAAAAATTATTATTTTTTTCTTATCTTTATTTTAAAAGAAAATAAATATATGAAAAAAGATGTGTAGCCCATGGACCCTAACATAAATAATAATAATAATAATAATAATAATAATAATAATAATAATAATGATAAAAGGTTAAATAACTCCTACCCACTTTTTTAGCCTTTTCTTTTGTCTAAATTTCTATTATTTTTCACTTATCCCCTCATAGTCCAAATTCGTTTCCCTTTTAATCATACTCTCTCTCTCCCCCATTAACCTTCCATTCCTTTCTCGTTCTTCCCATGAAAATTTTTTTTTGACCAAAATTTGTACTTTTTATTAGTAGACTAGAAAGAAATTACATCATAAGAGATCGTAAAAGAGGACAGAGATGCCTCGCCCTTGGCTAAAGCATTAGCTACACGATAGACATGGGAAAAAGAGACAATTAACGGCACAATCGAATCCATTATCTATAGCCATAAGGATCGGAGTTCCCACGGCACCTTCTGCTCCTTCTTGCACCATCTAATCACATTAAAAAAATCCCCTTCGATTAAGCAACTGGTACCCAAATTCTTTCTAATGAAAATTTGCACTCCCCTAAGCAAGGTACTTAGTTCTGCAAAATTGGCCGTAGTTGTGCTTATTGGGCCAGAATATGTAAAAATAATACTTCCAAAACAATCACGTAAAACATCACCAATGCCAGCTTGACAAGGATTACCAAAAGAGCTTCCATCAAAATTAAATTTTAGACAGCCCAAAGGAGGAGCAAACCATAATCCCTTAGGCCTACTCCTACTACCACCCAAAGAAAAGTGGTTAGAGAGCTTGATCAAATGAATAATCTTGTCTAAAGGCAAAGCCGTCCCATCGAAAGTCCTTCTATTTCTCTCCTTCCACACCCGACAAAGAATCATACATTTTGCTATCTTCTAGATCACACTCCTAATCTTGGGTAGAAATGGAAGAGCAGACTGTGATACCATGCCAACCACGGTTTGTAGAAGCGCCATTGAGACTCCTGTCACACCCATCAGCTAGTGCCAAATACTTACAGTAAAAGGGCAGTGAATAAAATAAAGGTAAAAGTTTATATAGAGCCGAGGCTCCAAACAATCAAATTTGAGTCTATCTAAAAATTTCACTAGAAGATGTTGTTTTGATGCCCAAATATCCTCAAATCGATCATCTCGACATCAAGATGCATGGACATTAGAAAAAAATGGATTTCAAGTTTTGGAAATAATATATTTTGTAATTCATTTTTGGATCGTCAAATTTAAAGATTTTCAAGTTTTCATAGATCTATCGATCTACACTATTTTTGAAACTTTAAAATTGATAAATAAAGATGAAAATATATTTTAAGGCTATCACAAATATTTTCAGTATTGAAACTACATTTCTCGACGCTATTTGAAGGTAGGCTCTAATTTGATTGTTTAGAGCCTAGGCTCTATACAAACCGCACCCATAAATAAATGCGCACTTGATTCACCATCTTGTTTGCAAAGCAAACAAATATTGGGCAAAATATTTCCCCTTTTAACTAAATGATCAATGGTTATTACTTTATCCTGCGCAGCCAATTAAATAAAAATTTGAACTTTATGGAGAATTGGCTATTTCCAAATTTGAACAATGTTAAGACAGGACCACCTCCATCGATCATGAAAAAATAAATTATAACAAGATTTAACAGAAAATATACCGTCACTTTCAATCTCCCATATCAACACATCTTCTGCATTCTGTGAAATATAGATTTTATCAAAGAGTTCCATCAATGCACACCATTGAGACAACAACACATTATTCAAATGCTAATAAATAAAGGGGATATTCCACAAAACTAGCTGGCCTCTACGTTCAACAACTTCACATACCTTTAAATTTGGCTTAGATACTACTCCAAGGAGGTTTGGGAAAGCAGATTTGAGAGGAAAATCCCCAATCCACTTGTGATGCTAAAACAAATCATGGCTTCCACAACCAATATTCCACCTAAAATAGCTCGAGATCATAGGTCTATAATTTGAAATGGCCCTACACACATGAGGGGTCTCCTTCCCTCTACCGCCTCCAAGCCATAGTTCGTATCTATCTATCCCATATTTTGAACAAAAGACTTGATACCAAAGATGGTCCTTCAAATGAAGACTTCACCACCACCACTTACACATCAAAGCTTGATTAAACCTTCTAACATTATGTATACCCAGACCACCTTCTCAC